CACATGAAGCCCTGTGAGTAGATATCATTGCTGAGGAGGAGGACCAAGACTAAACTCCAGTGCAATATGACAAGGAACAAAGGAGAAATCAGTCAAGAAGACTGGAATGCCTGGCAAAATGGAAAACATCAGGAGAATATACTATAGTCCTAAAATGCCAAGACAAGTCCTAAGAATGACAAACACAGGAGGGCGCCATCAATTGTGTCAAACACTACTGACCATCAATTGACCACTGTCTCTATCAACAGAAGAGTGAGGTAAAGTACTGGGGACAAAGGCATGTTGGGGTGGGTTCAAGAGGGATGGAGAGTAAAAACTGGAGATGGTTTATAGACAACTCTTTCAAGTTCTACAAAAGAAAGACATTGTAGATAAAGAGAATTATGAGGAGGGTTTTTCCCCCCATTATGGAAGAAAAAGATTTTAAAATATATAGGCATAAGCCGGGCGCTGGTGGCTCACGCCTGTAATCCTAGCTACTCAGGAGGCTGAGATCTGAGGATCGCGGTTCAAAGCCAGCCCGGGCAGGAAAGACCGTGAGACTCCTATATCCAATAAACCACCAGAAAACCGGAAGTGGCGCTGTAGCTCAAGTGGTAGAGCGCTCGCCTTGAGCTGAAGAGCTGAGGGACAGCGCCCAGGCCCAGAGTTCAAGCCCCACGACCGACAAAAAAAAAAAAAAAAAAAAATAAAAAAAAAAAATATATATATATATATATATATATATAGGCATATACTTACGCACATCATCAAGATGTACAATATGAAGGAAAAGAGATTGGCTAGTAGGTGATAGTGACACAGCGACCATTCTCTTCAAATTCCTGGAGTTCTCAGAGGCTCTAGAGACAGGATCATCAGCAGAGAACGTGGCCAGAGAGGAGATACTGACAACCGGAGGAGGTAGGTGAGGGTAAACAGCAGCCACTCAAGAGAGGAGGAGGATGAATGGACTGTGGTCCATTCAGATGCCTGGAAGCAAGGCGGGCTCACTTTGAGACTAGGGGCACAGGCTGGTAAGACAGGTTAACCTAGGGGATGCTTTCCAACAGCAGCCATGTGCAGCTATATGGGGATCAGTATGTAGTGGGTGGGAACCTGGAATGAACCAGGACTGTACAAGGGGACAGAGACATATATACAAAGGCTCAACAGCAGCAAATAATCATGATGACTTTTAGTAGGTGAAACACACTGAAAAGACAGCAGGATCAATAAACCAGTCCTACTGGGATAGAAGGATGCTACTAAGTAAACCTAAAGGAGATAGGCTAGAGGGGGAAATATTCTCATCTTCAACCTACAAGTTCTTAATACCTCTAGCATCCTACTAGAAGTCCATAAGCGGAAATTGCGCAGGAGCTTGAGATCATGAAGGTTAACCTGAACTCACAATTTCCCCCAAAGAGCTTCTTTCTTCATATTTCCTACTTAGTTCTGCCCTAGTCAGAAACCCAGGTAACACCTGACTTTCCCACTGTTCTCCACTACTCTACGTCTCATCCTCTCATACAGTGGGCACCAGGATCTGCAGATTCAACCACTTTATTACCTTTACAGTCTCATCTGCTTAGCTCAGCCCCAGAACAACTCCTCTTCCGAATTTAGGCTCTCATTTCTTACTCTCTCTTTCAGTCTTCCTAGTACACTTTACACCAGATACTTTCAGATTTGACCACACCACTGCTACTGCACCACCTATAAAGGCTTCTCATTGCCTTTAAAATAAAGAGCACATTCCTGGGATTAGCACAAATGTTCCTGCAAGACCTGAGCCCCTCCTCTATCTATGTGCTCGACCCCTTTCAAGAAGTGCTTTTCTGGCGGTAATGGCATCTGAATTCAGGATCGTGCATTTGCTAGGCAAATGCACTGTCACTTGAGCCAAGACCACCCCCCACACACACACCCTCCTCCCGAGTGTTTTATTTTTGTTACTTTTTAATAGGATCTCACACTTAGGCCTGACCAGCCTGAACTGTAATCCTCCTATTTACATCTTCTATGTAGCTGGGATGACAGACTTGAAACATCATGGCCAACTTTTATTGGTTAAAATGGGGTCTTCCAAACCTTTCTGCCTGTATTGGCCTCAATATGATCCTCTCAATCTCTACTTCTCTATAGCTGAGATTACAGGTACAAACCATTGAGCCCAACATGAAGTGACTTTTCTAAAATCTCAAATCATCTCATGTATATCTTTGTAAGACAGTTATTTTTCATGCTATCTTTTTGCTACCAGTCCTGGGGCTTCTTTTGCTCAAGGCTTATGTTCTACCATTGAAACCACAGCTCTACTTCCCATTTTTTTGTGGTTAGTTGGGAGATGAGAGTCTCACAGACTTTCCTGCCTGCCAAGGCTGGCTTCAAACCACAATCTTCAGATCTCAGCCTCCTGAGTAGCCAGGGTTAAAGGTGTGAGCCATAGGCAGCCAGGTCATCTTATCTTTCTTAAGAGGCCATCTCTCTTAGAACTACTTTTCTGGAGGTGGAAAGTATAAAAGACAGATTTGTTTTTTGAAGATAACATCCATGGACCCTGCAACAGTCAAGTTCAATGCCAGACTGAAAGAATTTGGTATAAAGGTAACAATAAACATGTAAACAAACAAGCCAATGGGAGGATTATGATAGCTTTTATTGTAACAATGAAACTGTGGCTGAGGTTTTTCATTACTGGCTATGCATTACAGGTATGTGATATTTAATACCTTTTTTTATTGTAAAAACAGTGTATAGAGGGGTTACAGTTACATGAGCAAGGTAATGAGTACATTTCCTATCAAGCATTGTTACCTACTCCGGCATATGATATTTTGACCTAATTCTTACAGACATGGTAAAAACCCTGAACAAAAAAAAGGAAAAGACCAGTTGCTTTCTAGGAGTTTTAAGTGTGTAGGAAAAAGATCCTTTAGCACTTAAATTCCTCTGGTCTGGGGAAGGCAAATGTCAATAATCATCACAGGTCATTCAAAAAGTACTTATTAAGACATTCTTGGGCAAGCTCGTACAATACACACTGGGAAGACTAGTTACCAAAATTATTAAAAGTCCCTGAAGTAGCTGGGCACAGGAGTCTCATGACTATAATTCTAGCTACTCAGAAGACTGAGATTCAGGACTGAGGTTTGAAAACAGCCTCAGCAAATAAATCAAGAGACTCATATCCAATTAAACAGCAAAAAGCCAGAAATGGGGCTATTACTCAAGTGGTGCCAATTGAGAGGGAAAAAAATTGAGCAAGAGCACAAGGCCCTGCATTTGAGCCCTGGTACTGGCAGATGCACGCATGCGTGCAAATGTGCGCGCACGCGCGCGTGCACGCACACACGCGCACACACACACACACACACACACACACACACACACACACACACACACGAGTTCCTAATATAATGGAGATGGCTAGTATCAATTACCATTTGGTAAATACATACCAGATACTGTGTAATAAACTCTTTACATATATGTCATTGTAATTTTACCAACCTGAAATAGTTGCTATTACTATTATATTTTTAATTGAAGAATATAAAACTCAGACATGGTAAGTATGTACCAAAGGACATAGAGCCAATAATTAATCAAGTCTGTGTACCTTTAGATATCAAACCATTCAACTAAATTGAACCCAGGACTTCATACTTGCTAAACAAAGGCTCTACCACTTAGGCCACAACCCCCAATCCTTTTGCTTTTAGTTTGCTTTAGACAAGGTCTCACTAATTTTGTCGAGGCTGGCCTTAAACTCTTAATCCTTCTGCCTGTACTTACCTTGATAGCTGGATGTCAGGCCTTTGCTACCATGATCAGTTCCATTCAAATCCTCTTATAGTCAGTTAGTAAAATACTATTGCCTGACATCTCTTTCATCCTGTTTGTAGCGGTCTTCAAAACAGCCTATTCTAGGAGGAAAGAGGATCTGAACTTCCACCAATATATCTATGCCAGTATGGGACAAATATGAGGACTCCATTTTTCTAACTTGATCTGTACTCTTTGATAACAGCTGTATTTTTAATGGGGAGGCCATCTCCCTCATCTTCTTGAAAGACAAGGACTTCCTTTTTTTTTTTTAATGTAGTAGAGCAGTGAGTTTATTGAAAGCAAAAAGAGTATAGACTCTCCACAAAGAGGAGCCCCAGAGCCAAGAGTCCAAGACAAAAAACTTTCAATCAAGAAAATGCCAAAGGCTTAACAAAAATGGTTAATAATGGTTTTGTTTTTATGCAGAAGGAAAGGGAGGGAAATAAGGAATATCTCTCCATGTTTTGACAGGAAAGAAAAAGGATTCTGGCTAATTCGTGGTGGCCAGAGTAAACAATATGACAACTATCTCCCTGTGTCTATGGAAACCCAACCTGGCTAACCAGACCAACCTAAGGCAGAGGAAGTCTGGCAGCAGCAAGAAGTAGTACTACTCAACAAAGACACAGCAGCAAAAGCACTAAGATGGCCAAGTTGGGTATCAGGAAATCTGAGATCAGGTTTTCTCCGAGTTTCTATTTCTAACTTGCTTTTCACCTTGAACAAGTTACATAACTTCTCTGGAAGCAGAAAACAATTTACACTACACCCTTTCCATTTCTCTCCATTCACACCTGGCTCTTCATTCCTCTTCCCTTATTTTTAGAAATCTATTTTAGCATTTTATTTGAGTTACAAGTTTCCTATTCTTAATATATTCCTCAGTCCCCCAACCACCTTGCTTGTGACAGATTGCCTAAAAGACCAAAATAGTATGGCAATGTGATATGTTTATTTTTTATATGAAAAAAAGGATGTCACATTATCTTAAAGATGCTGAGTTCCTAATCTCAAATCCCTAATAAAACACGTATTTTTGTTTCGTATATTTCTTATCATATAAAGCAGCAGCAATTTCTGTCTTATCTATTGTAGATAAATACTAGTTTTTGGTATTATCCTGCTCACATTTGCCTTCTATAAAGCAGTGACTGATGATGGAAAAAAAAAAATCACTGACTTACCTACATGAAGCCTTCTGAGTAGAATAGATGAATTCACATTTCCCATGGATACAGTAACCATTGAGGTTTTCAGGGCAAGGCATGTGACTCCCAACATAAACATCTTCTCTTTGATCGCTAGCATCTTAAAAGAACATAAACCAGGTCACTGAATAGTGAAAAGCAAACTAAAAAACAGGTACTTTTCAAAGGTTCTGAAATAGCAAATAAATTCACCCCTTACAAATCACCTATTAGGGAATTTAGAAAGGAGATTAATCAGTAAGATAGAAGATTGGGTAAGATCCAAGCTACCTTCCAATTTCCATTATGCCACAGCAGGTGAGCTAGGCTCAAAGCATTTAAAACTATTTGTAGCATGTGACCACTACACACTACTATTGTACGGAAAGAAAAAAAAAAAAGCCAAAGAAGGCTAAGCATCTGCACATCTATCGGTCCCTGGTGGTGTACAATCCTAGCTACTAAGGAGGTGGAGATCTGAAGATCACAGTCCAAGAGAATCTTATCTCCAATTAAGGAAGGAAGGAAGGAAGGGAGGGAGGGAAGGAGAGAGGCAGGGAGGCAGGGAGGCAGGGAGGCAGGGAGGGAAACCAGATGTCCACAGTGGCTCACACCTGTAATCCTAGCTTCTCAAGAGGCTGAGATCTGAGGAATGCAGTTCAAAGCCAGCTGGGGCAGGAAAGTCCATGAGACTCTTATCTCCAATTAAGCACCAGAAAACCAGAAGTGGTGCTGTCGCTCAAAGTGATAGAGACCTAGCCTTGAGCAAAAAGAGCTCAGGAACAGCACACTCAGACCCCGAGTTCAAGCCCTATGACAGACAAAAAAATAAAATAACCAGCTATCTATATGGTATATCTATCTATATGGTAACAACAAAGCAATTACCTCCCTATGACACAGATAAATGTTTTTTTGTTTTTTGTTTTGTTTTGTTTTGTTTTTGCTGGTCGTGGGACCTGAACTCTGAGCCTGGGCGCTGTCCCTTAGCTCTTCAGCTCCAGGCCAGCACCCTACCACTTGAGCCACAGCACCACTTCCAGCTTTTTCTGCTTATGTGGTACTAAGGAATCGAACCCAGGACCTCATGCATGCAAGGCAAGCACTCTACCACTAAGCCACTTTCCCAGTCTGACACAGATAAATGTTTTAATAAATTCTGAAGGTTTGTAGAAACTAAGAAGGATGAACTAGGAGGCTGCATATGTATGTATGGATGTGGGAAAAAGAAGATAAACAGAGAAGTGTCAATAGCAATACAGGTGTGAAAACAAAGCTCAGGTTTCCTGGAGAACAAAATTTACTCATGGACATAAGAAAACTTTAATGATTCTTAAGCTTGGTGGCAGAATAAATAAAGCAAAGACTGTGTCACCCATAACAAAAACAGGATGCCATTTGACCTCAAAATGAATGTGTTTACATTGTACTAACTTATCTCTAGAAAGAGATGGGAACTAGAAGTCAGGGGGTTCAACATACAAATTCTCAGTTTAAAAAAATACCTTTGCCACTTCGTGATGCTGATCACATCACTTCCTGACCCTGAGAGGGCTGTGTGCAGTGCTGTCTAAGAACAGACATAGAATAGGGACACATATGTAGCTTTATATTTTCTAGAAGTCATATTTTTTTAAAAAAATTAAAAATTCAGGCTGGGAAGGTGGCTCAGTGGTAGAGCGCTTGCTTTGCATGCATGAGGCCCTGGGTTCGATTCCTCAGCACCACATAACCAAAAAGAAAAAAAGCTGGAAGTGGTGCTGTGGCTCAAGTGGTAGAGTGCTAGCCTTGAGCTGAAGAGTTGAGGGACAGTGCCCAGGCCCAGAGTTCAGGCCCTACGACCGGACCCAAAAAAAAAAAATTAAAATTCATCTGATACTTTCACTTTAAACATATTCCCAATATAAAAACTTAAGGTATTTTATGTTCTTTTAAATAAACCTCCAAGATCCAGCATTTTACATTCATAACATACTTCACATGCTGAGTAACTGTCTGTGGCTAACAGTTTCCACACTGAACAGCACAAGATAGATACTAATGAATTTGGTAATCATCTACCAATCACTTTACACATGCCAAATACTCTAGACAGCAGAGACACAAAAATAAGACATAGCCTAGCCTCATCACTTTCTATGATTTTCTCCAGCTCCTGGACTGTAATTCTCCGTGGCAAAAGAACCAAGCCCTCCTCTAGGCTGCTATGACCCTGGACACTGACTACTGTATTTTACCATTCATGATACTGTGGCATCACTACGCTGATTGTTTGTTTGTTTGTTTGTTTAACTCAGGCACCATGAAACTGCAAGCTCCTTTAGAATCTAGACATTCGTCCTATTCTGTGTTTCTAAGCAGAAGCTAAAACTTAATTAACAGATCTTTTATTTATTAATACTTGTGATCCAAGCAGAAGATGTTCTTCAAGCAGTTAGCACTGCTGGAGAAATAGTTTGATAGAAAATGAAGAACTCATATGTACTTTTCTGCTACCATTTTTCAAACTAAAAACCCTATTCTCTGCTCCCAGTCAAGTCATGAAAAAGCAAAGGAACACAGACCTCACCTCAGATCACAGCACTTTGAAAACACAGTACTTTCCCAGTGGGATGCCATCAGAGTATATAATCAAGGCACCATAGAGAGTGTACCAACCTATAATAGTAAAATCCCATAATGTATGTAACAATGAGATGGTATAGCTTGGAAAAGGTGTGGTAATGTACTAATCTGTCTTAAGAAAGCCGTATAGGCAGCAGGGGACTTCGGGAATAATGCAGAGCTGAAAGCTATCAGAGAATTCAACTGTATGAAAGCAGTAAGAAAAAATTAACTAAATTAAGAATAAGATTTCAAGAAATTAATAGACAAAGAACACTGAATGAATGAAGTATCATCAACAGTGAGGCTAGCTAAAAACAAAAGGAATACTAGTAAGTCTTCAAAGCTTTGCTCAGAGTTCAAAATTCAGCATTCCTTTCAAAGTCATTATTCATTCCATTATACTTACAAAATATCCTATGCAAAACCAGCTGTAAGTTCAGTTGGGTTAGAGGACACAAAGAAATCAGGAAAGTCGATATATAAATTGAATGGTACATGGTTCCCTGTCCTCAAGAAGCATTTCATTGATCTAGGGAATCTATATATAAAAAGTTGCACACATAAGAGGTACTCAACCATATGACAGTTTGTAATTAAATGCCAATGGGTATCACGGAATTTCACATTCAGAGAAAAGGCCATCATAGGCTGAATTACCCAAGAGAATTTGTAGCTAAGGGAGGACTGAGGTTTGGCCTTAAAGCACATTCAGGTTTAGAAAGGAAGACTGGAAGGATAAGGAAATGTCCAATACTGAACATCCTCAAGTACAAAAACAAGAAACAGCTCAATATAGCAAGGTTGGTGCCCTGAGACGTGGAAAGGGTGTACATCAAGGATGGGAAAGCAGGCTAAAGCCATATTCGGCAAAATGTGACCTCCCGTTAGGAAACTTTTTTTCCCTTTTTTATCACATAGATAAGGAAGACACTGAAGGACTTTCTACTGTAGAATAACATAATAAAAGCACACTTCAAAAACAAAATTCAATAGAGGGCTGGGAAGGTGGCTCAGTGGTACAGTGCTTGCCTTGCATGCATGAGGCCCTGGGTTCAATTCCTCAGCACTATATAAGCAGAAAAAGCTGGAAGTGGCCCTGTGGCTCAAGGGGTAGATGCTAGCCTTGAGCTGAAGATCTGAGGGACAGCCCCAAGGCCCAGAGTTTAGGCCCTACACCAACCAAAAAAAAAAAAATTCAATAGACAACAATTGCCTAGATTGAATAAGAAGAAGGAACTGCTAATGGTTCTGAGAGTCCTTTCACAAGTGGCATAAAATGGGGCTGGGAAAGTGGCTCAGTGGTAAAGCGCTTGCCTTGCATGCATGAGGCCCTGGGTTCGATTCCTCAGCACCACATAACCAAAAAGAAAAAAGCCGGAAGTGGCGCTTTGGCTCAAGTGGTTGAGTGCTAGCCTTGAGCTGAAGAGCTGAGGGACAGCACCCAGGCCCAGAGTGCAGGCCCCACGACTGGACCAAAACAAAAAAACAAGTGGCAACAAATGTTTAAAACTAAGACTATGATGATGCTTATATTAACTCTACAAAATTTTTAAAAACCACTGAACTGTACAGTTTAAACAAGTAATTTGAGGATATGTAAACTCTACTCCAATCAAGCCATGGGTTAAGCTGGTCACTGGGTGGCTCATGCCTGTAATCCTAGCTACTCAGGAAGCTGAGATCTGAGGATCAGGGTTCAAAGCCCAGGAAAGTCTATGAGACGCTTATCTCCAATTAACTATCAAAAAGCCTGAAGTGGAACTGTGGCTAAAGTGGTAGAGCACTTACCTTGAGCAAAAAAAGATTAAGAATAGCACCAAGACCCTGAGTTCAAGCCCAAGGACCAGCACCAAAAAAAAAAAAAAGCTAACATAGTTACTTACATACCAACATATAAGATAAAGAAAGCAGGTGATCTATTAGAAACATTAGTGTGTGGCATAGCACGTGGGAGATAGAAGCAGAAGGATCACAAATTCAAGGAAAGACAGCTTGTCTCAAAAACAAAGACTAACCAGGCTTGATAGCTTACACCTGCAATCCTAGCTGCTCAAGAGGCAAAGACAGAAGAATCAAGGTTCAAGGCCAGTCTGGGCAAAACACCTCAACAGATGAGCTGGATGCAAAAGGTGTAAAAGGATCGCATTCCAAGGACAGCCTAGGTAAAACCAGTAGGCCCTAAGTTCAAACTACAGTAAAATAAAATAAAGTAAAATAAACCAAGGGCCAAGAAATAGCTCAGTGGTTGCCTAGTAAGAGCAAAGCCCTAGGTTTACCCTGGCAATGCAGAAGAAGGTGAAAAGGAGGGAAGAGGAGAATGTATGCTTCAAACCAATGATAATGAAAGCTATGCCAAAGCTGAGCAGTAGGAATGAATTCTAAAATATACACCCAAAAACAACAATAATCAAGCTTGACAGTATTCAGAACGAGTAAACCCTGGGGTCGGGGGAGGGAAGAGAAAGTAGGAGAAAAACAATGGAGGGGGTAACAATGCTTGACAAGAAATGTACTCATTACCTTACTCATTTAATTGTAACTCCTCTGTACAGTGTCTTTACACTAAAAAATACTGATAATTAAAAAGATTGAAGGGTGCACAGTGGCCATCTGGTTTAACTGACAGTCTGTTTCTACTTTAACACTTCCAATGAGGACAAACTCATTATAACAACACAATGGATTAAAATGCTATTGGATTTCCTTCATATCAAATGAAATCTCTTTGGGTAGCTTTCCTAGTGTCTATTCATCTCCTTCCCCACTACCCACCAGCATATTTTATTCTTGAGGTCAAAGTTCCCACTCCCATTTGTGTTTGAACAGGTTTAGTTTGCATCTGTCTTTTTCTCAGCATTAACCCAGTTCTCTAGAAGAGAACCACCCTCTCTTTATTAAAGATACTTAATAAGCAATTATGCAAAAAGTATCTTTCAAATATGAGCCTAATGACAGGGGACCCAATAGAGAGAAATAGAGAGAACATAGTAAGCTGAGTACAAATTTAGATCTCCACTCACCCAAAAACATTTGTTAAATACTAATTGTGTTCCAGGCTGTCGTAATTCCTGGAACGTGAAACAAGGACAGAATAAAGACCCACCAAGTAACTAAATACATGAAATTATTGCTCTAGAAAGAGGTAACAGCTGTTGGGTACATGAAACATTCTGAAGAAGAGTCAGTAAGGGAAAGAGGAAACAAAATTCTGGTATAACTGTGACATAGAGTTTCAAAAGAGCAACCAGGGTTGGGTCAGAAAGCCTGTTGCTTTTGACCTTCATTCTCCATGAGCAACGAACGAGTTCAGCGTCTTCATCTGCAAAATGAAGATAGCATGTAGTAACCCAAATACATGAAAATACCTAGTGAGAACTTTAAGCACAACCAGGAAAACCAACACTGAAGCCAGAAAACAAAGGTGTTAGAAACAGCCGTAACAATATCATTAATGAATGTAGTATTTAGTAACCTGGTGTTTAGAATTCAGGGCAATTCCACTATTTATAGATGTGATCATTGAGGCTCAGAGATGTCAAGATACAACACTGCTTTTAGCTATGGTTTCGCCAAGAAACTTGCGAGATGTGTAAGGGATAAACAAAAAGATAATATCCAAGCATCTGCTTTGATGGACAAATAAATTAAGACAACTTTCAAATATGAAGATTAAAAGGCTTTCAAGCTTCAATAAAGCACAGTTTCTTTCACAAACCACAGCAGAGATGTGGCCTCAGTACAGTACAATCTAGGCCCAGAAAGATTCTGGGTAAACAGTGCCCTTGGGCAAGTGGTGACAGGCTCCACCAACAGCTGCAACTGCTGGTGTCTGAATGATGTTTGTGTATGCTTGATACAAAAAGGACACTTGGCCACCCAGCAACTCAGTCCATCCATAGAAGTTCACAAAATCCCACTGCAGCTACAGTGTTTTGCATACAAAGCACAGAACTTCACTCAAATTCCACCTCTCCCAGACATTTCTCAGATCTTCACTGTTACTAACCAACATGATCCTCTTTTCCCATGACCCTTTTTAACTACACTCTATTTATGACAACAGTTAATTTTCATCTTATTAGTAGTTGTTTGCATTTCTTACTATAGCATAAACTTTAAATTATCATGTACTATGTTATCTTTTCTATTAGCATCAATGATTTGTACAAGGGTGTTTCCTTTTTTTTTTTTTTGCTTGTTTCTTTTGTGTGCTGGTACTAAGAGGCTTGAATTAAGGACCCAGTTGCCTATAGCTTTCTCCACTCAAGGCCAGCACTTTACTATTAGAGCCACAGCTCCACTTCCAACTTCTTATAGTTAATTGAGGTAAGAGTATCATGGACTTCCCTATCCAAGCTGGCTCTGAACTGCAATCCTCAGACCTCGGAGTAGCTGGGATTACAGGTGTGAGCCACTGGCATCAGGCTTTAAACAATGAATTTTTATCCTTCTCTCTCATCTTCTCCCCACCTTTCCCCTTTGGTCTCATCAAGTTTCCCTGTTTTATTTTCACACATGTACAGAGATTATTATGACTATATTAGCTCTCCTGGCCCATCTCTGTTCAAGTGTCCTCTTCCTCCTACTTCTCACACCCCAGTCCAGACAGGTCTTAACTTCCTAATGCTCTTTTTGTTAAACTGTATGTTAATTGGTCACAGAGGCCATGACATCCCACCTGCATAGACCATGTTTAGATTATCTTCTGTCCACGAGTACTAGCTGCTAAAAGGACCAATATAAATTAGGTATGAAATAAACTATACAGACTGATTGTGATTATTTAAGTAATAGATCAATTTTACCCATGTACAGAATTTTCAGTATCTCAAGTCACAAAGGTACTAAGTTATTAGCATATATACTCACATGATACTATTATAGTCATTATACCATAGTCATAGATACAAGTCATTATACAATTTTATCAACAGTACATACACTCTTTGGGGTATACACAATTCCCCAAATCGCCTTAAATATGAGCTTCTAAATGCAAGAAAAAAAATAGTCTTCTAAGTGTAGCCATGTACTATTAGACTAAAACTAGAGCTGATATACTATGCCCCCTGTTTGAAATAAGCATTTTGCATCAGCATAGGAAACTGGGATTTACCAAACTCATAGATAAGTTATAATGGATTCAGATTTGATAAATAACGTTCAAATGAAAAAAGTGATTAATTATTCAGTGACATAAAGTTAACAATTCTGTGTTGAAAATAAACTATACAACTTGTGGGTGGAGATGAGGGGAAAAAATGGGAGAGAGCAAAGGAAGGGGTGACACTGTCCAAAAAGAAATGTACTCATGCCAGGCGCCAGTGGCTCATGCCTGTAATCCTAGCTACTCAGGAGGCTGAGATCTGAGGATTGTGGTTAAAAGCCAGCCTGGCAGGAAAGTTCATGAGACTCTGATCTCCAATTAACCACCAGAAAACCGGAAGTGGCACTGTGGCTTGAGCTGAAGAGCTCAGGGACTGTGTCCAGGACCAGAGTTCAAGCTCCACAACCAAGAGCGAGCGAGCGAGTGAGCGAGAGAGAGAGAGAGAGAGAGAGAAATGTATTCATTCCCTGACTTATATAACTGTAACCCTTCTATAAAACATTTTTATAATAACACTTTAAAAAAGTTTTAACAATTACTGAATACTTAAAAATTGTATTAGACACTGTTCTAAATACTTGATAAATTATCCTATTTAAATTTTATGCAATTCTATGAGATGGTATTATTATCATTCACATGATTTTTTTAAGTTACTTTAAAAACAACAACAACATAAAATAATCAGGGGTATTGAGATAGATCACACTTTTTCCCTCTAGTACTCAGGGTCAAATCCAAGATTTTATGCATGCTAAGCAAACATTATACCACTGAACTAAATCCGTAACACTTAGTGTTTTTGTTTTGTTGGTCCTGAAGCTTGAACTCGGGCACTGTCCCTGAGCCTCTTTATACTCAAGGCTAGTTCTCTATCACTTGAGCATCACTGCTGGATTTTTCTGAGTAGTTTATCGGAGATAAGAGTCTCCCAGCCTTTCCTGACTGGGCTGGCTTCAAACTGCGATCCTCAGATCTTAGCCTCCTAAGTAGTTAAGATTACAGGTGTGAGATACCAGTGCCCCAGCTAACGCTTGGTTTTTTGACACAAGGTCTAGCTATATAGTTCAAGTTGCCCTGGAACTTGCAATATACCCCAGGCTGACCTCTCAAACTTGTAGTTAAACCTCCCAAGTGCTTAGATTGTTCAAAGATAGTCCAAAGATCTAAGATCTAGACCTATGTTGGTTAAGTAGCACTGGCATTAGTCTCAGCTACTTCTTACGACAGTAGTTGCAAGGATCAAATTAATGTGTATAAATGTCAAATGGGAAAGTGCAACAGAATGAGGTCAAGAGACCTGGATTCCAGTTTGTTCTTTAACTTAACTAGATGTAAGACTTGTGCAAATAAATGCTATCACTAGAGCCACATCCACTGTACTGAAATGTGTAGAGCATCCTCTTATGTGCTAGATAATCTGCTAGGCTTAGTGATGCAGAGTGACGATGACAAGTACTGTCATCCTGTCTGTGCAGAATTCTTAGCCTACAGGGGATGAGTTAAAAATAAATTATAATAGAGTAGATGAATGCTCAGCTAGGGGAGGATATAAGAAAGGCACCTAATCTAAGCTGAAGGTCAAAGAATATATTCCAAAAAGAAATGCCTTCCACTGCTGAGACTAAAAACATGAATAGGAGGTCAGAGAATGAAGTAAAGACTTCCAGGCAGAGGGAAAAGGGTCACCAAGCTGGACACAGATGGGAGGAAGTGTTAATAGTAGATTCTATATTAGAGTATCTTTTCATGTGTGCCAGGATTGAGACTTAAACTCAAGGCTCTGCACTCTGGCTCAAGTTTATTCCCTTTCAACTAGTACTCTTATCACTTAACCTATAGTTTTGGGGTTTTTTGATGGTTAATCAAAGATGTAGTCTCATAGACCTTTCTGCGTGGGCTGGCTTCAACCATAATCATCCAGATCTTAAGCCTCCTGAGGAGCTAGGATTACAGGCATGAGCCACTGTAGTTGGTCAAAATTTAGAAATATCATGATTCAGTACCTTTTACATCTGGTGAATATTGCAGTCCATCATCTTTCTTTCCCAGCAAACTCATATCATCTGTGTCTGTAAGAAGAAAACAGTGTTAAATCAAACAGATACGAAGTGGCGGTCATACAGTGGAACTCCCAATTATTCCAAATGCTCCAGGACATCCTGTACTTTCTATCACTTTATCCACTCACATTTTCCACCATTCTCTCTTCTGTAAGTTGATAGGTAACATCGTGTGAATTTATCATGTACAACATAATGCTTTGATGTATGACACACTAAAGAAGCATTTCTACCATTCTCTTCAACAGCTGTCCCTTTTCTGTCTCAGACCTCAGTGCAACCCAGGTAGATATGTTCTTTGCATACTAGTCTCATATCATTTGGACCTCAGAGTTCAAATTTCACCCATTTTAAAAAGTCTTTCCTGTCAAAGCTAAAACTACACATGCACTGAGCTGTGTGTTATTTTATACTTTCTCTCCAAGGAACAATGAATGTTTTCCTGGAAACATCAAGTTAAGATGAATATGGAATCTTGGCTGTGTCATCAAATAACTTTATTAATTTGTGAACTGCATCTGGAATGGGAATTTTTTTTAAAAACCCACAATACCAGCTAGAAGGCACAAGTTTCAGCCTCTAATACATTGGGAGGAAAGATATAGGGAGGTTAGGGAGGTAGACAGAAAAAAAATATTTTTTTTTTGGTCAGTAGTAGAGCTTGAACTCTGGGCCTGGGCTCAAGGCAAGCACTCTACCACTTGAGCCACAGCACCACTTCCAGTTTTCTGGTGGTTTACTGGAGATAAGAGCCTCATGGACTTTCTTGCCCAGGCTGGTTTGAATCCCAATCCTCAGATCTCAGCCTCCTGAGTAACTAGGATTACAAGCATGAGACACCGATGCCTGGCTAGAAAATTATTGATGGTACTGAAATAACAACTAATGCCTAACCAGGCAGAAATCATCTAAATCTTCATATGAATTTCAATTAAAATTCTTAAGTTTGGCCAACTGCTCTGAACTTGACATTCCATGCAAACGTGTAAGCAGTTCCTCAGAAGAGGACTTCCCTAAGCTATTCCTCCCACCTGAGATCTAAATTCTACCACATGAAATAAATCATATTCCAAGATCAAAGCCAAAAGAAATCTCTACATCTATCTTTCCCCCATCATCCCTTCCTGGAAGTTCTCTGATAAGCTTCTTGGGTATTCTTTGGTAGCTCAGCCTAGAGGTGTTGCAATCAGGTAGGCAGTGTGTCATAAATAATTCACCACCAAGATAAAGTACCAAACTTTATTTTAGGAACTTTTGCCCTTAATTCTGATTAAAATATATCCCTTTAGTAAGCTACCAAGGGAGAAAGGAAGGTGTAGAGTTAAAAAGTATACAATCCTAGTCCACTTGTATATAAACACAATATATAATTGCAATCACAAAATAGGTCATGTGAAAACAAACTATTTTTCTCTAGAAAAAGAACAGTTAGGAATGCATGGCAAACATAGTTTTATTTGTTTTGTTTTGTTTTGTTTTTATGCCAATTGTGGGGTCTGAACTCTGGGCGCTGTCCTCCAGCTCTTCAGCTGTAGAGCAGTGCTCTACCACTTGAGCTTTTTCTGCTTATGTGGTACTGAGGAATCGAACCTAGGGCCTCATGCATGCAAGGCAAGCACTCTACCACTGAGCCACCTTCCCAGCCCAAAACATAGTTTTATTTGTAATCAAGTCAAAATAAGCTAACCTTTAGCTATTATCAAATTTAAAATCACCTTAGAACTATAAGTACACTGAAAGCTAATTTAGATGGATACACTAGGATCCATGCAGATAAGCTGAGGAACTAAATAAACAACCAAGAAGTATGCTTTATATCTTTTTTTTTTTTTTTTTGGGGGGGGGGGGAGGTCCGGTCGTGGGGCCTGAACTCTGGGCCTGGACGCTGTCCCTCAGCTCTTCAGCTCAAGGCTAGCGCTCTACCACTTGAGCCACAGCACCACTTCCGGCTTTTTTCTTTTTTCTTATGTGGTGCTGAGGAATCGAACCCAGGACCTCAGGCATGCAAGGCAAGTGCTCTACCACTGAGCCACCTTCCCAGCCCCGCTTTATATCTTAAGAAGATAAAGTATGTTTTTTTTTAATCCATTAGTAACAAAAGAAATGCTGAGGCATGCCGTGCTAGAAAAGATCCACATTTTGAAGGCTTTTCATTTTATAAATTCAGACTGCTACCAATTATGATAACAGACACATACTATTACGAACAGGTCTATAGGTGAAGAGAATGGAGTTTACCTGTGCAGTGGCCAAGATGCCTTATATCAATCTGCTCCTGCTTTATACAAGATGCTTCTCGCACGAAACAGGGGTTGTTATAGGAACTCCCATCAGAAGCACACACAGGATTAAAACTGTACCCACTACAGTCTATGTTACACACACACCTGTCGGAAAAAGACAACAATCACTAATAGTTTACCACAAAATTATCACACAATGCTTCAGTAGCAAAAAAAAAAAAAATGTTATTTTGTCTCTGCTGTTTAACAGAAGTCAGTATTTTGCTTTATGTTACTAAGGAACTCTTAAGCAAATTGATCTTTCTCAGTTGAATCTTTCTTTCCATTGAGAATTTAGAAATAATTTCATCTACATATTACTTTTCTAAGGGTTCCTCTAGAATTGTCATATCTAAATCAAATAGTCAGGAGCTATCAGACATTGACAATATTAAATACAAAGCAAAATAGCACGGTTAAAAAACATGGAATGAGCCAAGCCCAGGTGGATCACTCCTGTAATCCTAGCTACTCATGAGGCTGAGAGCTGAAGATCGCAGTTCAAAGCCATCCCGGGCAGGAAAAGTCTGTGAGACTCTTAATCTCCAATAAACCACTAGAAAACCAGAAGTGGCGCTGTGGCTCAAGTGGTAGGGCTCTCGCCTTGAGCTGAAGAGCTAAGGGGCAGTTCCCAAGCCCAGAGTTCAAGCCCCATAGCCAACAACAACATCAAAAAAAAAAAAATGGAATTATGTGACCAATCAAAAGTCATTAATCTAAGTCCTAGTCCCCAACTAATCACTAGATTTGTTCCAGAGTCTTCCTTGAAGTCTATCTTTACTGATCTGTTACACAGAGGTAGATATGACATGTCTACTTATTAAGTAATCAAGAAGATTAGTGTTCTAGCTACTTATCTACCTGTATAGATGCACTGAGAATAGAACATTGCACCAAAGAGAAGTTAGTTCAAGGCAATAATGTCTAGCTGGATGGATGGAGAGAGGGAAAGAGGGAGGTAGAGAGAGATTCTCCTGTTTCCTGAAACATGTTGGGCTAGGAAGCATTTTACTTTTTTCTTTCTTTCTTTTTTTTTTTTGGTGCTGGTACTAGGGCTTGAACTCAGGGCCTGCTGAGCTTTGTCAGTCAAGGCTAGCACAATACCACTTGAGCCACAGCTCCACTTCTGGCTTTTTTTTGGGGGGGAGGGTGGGTAAGTGATTATCTGGAGATAAGATTCTCAAGGGCTTTCTAACATGAGCTTGCTTCAAATTGATCTCAGCTAAGATTACAGACATGAGCCATTGGTGCCCAGTTAGGAACTTTTATTAACCTTCCTGCTGGGAAGAAAAAAACAAAACCTGGATTAATCATTTTAAAAAGCATTCTCCCACTGAGCATGATGGTACACACCTATCTATAAACCCAGAAATTGTAAGGAAGATAAACAAGATTTGGAGTTCAAGTCTAACATGGTTTATATAGCAAGTCTGAAACCACTCTGGTTTACGCTTGAGACCAGCCTGGTTTTACCAGGCTTCAAAACACCAAAACATAAAATTTTAAAAATAAAGTTAAAAATCCTTTTAAATGCATTCATTAATTGCTAAGAGAGCCAAGAATATTCAGAACAGAAGTTAAATGAAGACAGGTACAAAGAAAGGTCAACTGAGTACTCTCAAGCTGATTTTCACCTTGAAGGCACTGGCCAAACTGAGTAAATTCAATTATCAACATTTCTGGGTTGTAGTCCTCTGGGAACAGGAGACAAATAACACTGACACACCTTCAAAAAGTTGTAACTCTCAGTATGTGGGTTAACTGCAAATGATTTACCATATTCCAAAGGAATTATATGAATCAAAAGAAAGTAAGTATAAGAATACCCCAGCCATGGCATTGAAGACAGGGAAGAAGATCTCCTCAGAGTGTAAAACCACAGACCACAGAGCCAGCCCTCACAGGGGTAACTACAACTTAAAATACTATTTGATTGTTCAAAAAAAATCCTCAAATATAAAAGATCAAGGGCCTAGAAGGAGTCCTAGGAAAATAAAAGACCCACAGAGAATCTTCTAGAGAAACCCAACTGTACCTTAGGTCCCTTCTCCACAGATACAATTCTGAGAAAAAAAATACCACACTACCTACCTACCCAACCCTTCTCTCTCTCTCGTCTGCGCCCTTTTCTATCTTTCCCCTTCCTCCCTCTCTCTTTTCCCGGCTCTTCTTCTGTCTCTCTCCCTTACACATACACACAGAGATCCAAACAGACCATCCATGAATAAATAATGTATTACTAGAAGCAGTGGGAAGATGTAACAGCTGATGAGAAAGCTAAAGTACAGTCAGTGAACTGAAAGACTGGGGAAATTGCTCACACCAGAGCAAAGCCAGGAAACATAGATCATATACCTTGAGAGACATGGAGAATAGTCAAAAGGAATAAGAAAAATCCAGCGTTGCCTAGGAGTTAAGAGAATGAAACAGTCCAAGCAATTTCTCTTCAAATTTTCTAAAACTAATCTAAATTTCTATGAAACCCAACAAATTCCAAATAATTTTTTTTAAAAAACAGAACCCACTGCCAGGCGCTGGTGGTTCATGCCTGTAATCCTACATACTCAAGAGGTTGAGATCTGAGGATAGGGGCTCAAAGCTAGTCCAGGGAAAGTTCATGAAACCCTCCTTTCCAATTAAGAACCAAAATAGCCAGAAGCAGAGCAGTATCTCAAGTGACAGAGTGCTAGACCTGAGCAAAATTGCTAAGGGACCACACACACAAAATAAAAAGAACCCACACACTGAAATATGGTACTTGAATTTTTATAAGCAAAAAAAAAAAAGACTGGGCGGGGAAGGTGGCTCAGTGGCAGAGCGCTTGCCTTGCATGCCTGAGGCCCTGGGTTCGATTCCTCAGCACCACATAACCAAAAAGAAAAAAGCCAGAAGTGGCGCTGTGGCTCAAGTGGTAGAGGGCTAGCCTTGAGCTGAAGAGCTGAGGGACAGTGCCCAGGCCCAGAGTTCAGGCCCCATGACTGGACCCAAAAATAAAATTAAAAAATAAATAAATAAAAAGACTATCATTCTTACAGCCAGAAAGAAGAGAAAAATAACACTAAAAAGGCAAGAAGAAGGAAAAGTAAACTTCACAAGAAATGATAAAGATAAACTACTGCTACCTTGAAAACAGGGAACTAGTATCTGCAATGTGCTGATATAAACTAGAAATCTATATAGAAAGAAATCTTTTTTATGAATGAGGGGGGAAAATAATTCAGAAAAAAATTAAAACTTGCTTGGCACCAGTATCTCACAGCTATAATCCAGGTTATTCAGGGAGCTAAGATCTGAGGATTCTGGTTTGAAGCCAGTCTGAGACAAATACAAGGTACTCATATACCCAATAACCAGCAAAACTCCAGAAGTGTGACTCAAATCGTAGAACATGTGTCAAGAGTAAAAGAGTAAAAGCCAGAACATGAAGTCCTAAGTTCAAATCCCAGTACCAGTACACAATTTTTTAAAAATAGAAGTAAAAACAAGAGGGTTTTGGTCCTAGAGTGCTTAAATAAAATTCATTTTTAATATATTTTTTTATTGTAAAGATACTGTACAGACGGGGCTGGGAAGGTGGCTCAGTGGTAGAGTGCTTGCCTCGCATGCGTGAGGCCCTGGGTTTGATTCCTCAGCACCACATGAGCAGGAAAAGCCGAAAGTAGCACTGTGGCTCAGGTGGTAGAGTGCTAGCCTTGAGCTGAAGAGTTGAGGGCCGGCGTCCAGGCCCCAGAGTTCAAGCCCCAAAACCAACAACAACAAAAAAAGATACTGTACAGAGAGGGTTACAGTTACATGAGTAAGGTAAAGAGTACATTTCCTATGAGCATTGCTACCCCTCCTTTGTTTTCCCCTTACTGTTCCTTCCCTCCCCACCTCCCCACCTCCTTCCTGAAGTTGTAAAGTTCGTTTTCAACATAGTGTCTCATTGTTACAGTGAGTCAACCTGTATCCTTAAATGCAGTAGAAAAGTGATCCTATAAAGGAAGGTTTCAGGCATAAACACATATGCACAAAAGATGAAAAAAAAAGGTGAAATATGTAGGTAATATTACCAAAATACTGATCAGATAAGATGATAACCATATTGTGTTTAAAGTTTTTTAAATAAGCCGGGCGCTGGTGGCTCACACCTGTAATCCTAGCTACTCAGGAGGCTGAGATCTGAGGATCGAGGTTCAAAGCCAGCCCGGGCAGGAGAGACCGTGAGACTCTTATCTCCAATAAACCACCAGAAAACCGGAAGTGGCGCTGTAGCTCAAGTGGTAGAGCGCTTGCCTTGAGCTGAAGAGCTGAGGGACAGCGCCCAGGCCCAGAGTTCAAGCCCCACGACCGACAAAAAAAAATAAATAAATAAATAAAGTTTTTTAAATAAAATTAAAATGATAGCATATAAACTTAAAGGTGCTGAAATTACAATGCCTAAAGAGAAGGCAGTAATAAGCTTTAAGAGGAAATAAGTTGAGTGTATATGTTAAGAGTTCAAAGGTTACTAGTAAAAGAATAATCAGTAACTTTATAACTAGTGAGAAACACACACACACACACATACACACACAAAGCAAAGAGAAACAAAGAGAAGGCAAGAAAAAAAGTACAAAACAACAGAAAAAGTTAATGTATCAGTACTTAAAATATATTTAAGTAATAATAAAATAATTTCATATGCAGGGAAATGGATAAAACTAGAACAAATCATGTTAAATGAGGTAAGCCAAGCTCAGAGAGACAAATGGTGCATGTTCTCTCTGACATGCAGAAATAGATCTAAAAGACACTGGGATATGATCAATTCTAGAAACATACAATGAGAAAAAAGAGGATACTCTCAGGAGAGAAACAAAAAGGCGCAATGTCTACACGCCTCTTCATATTTACATAAAATAATACATCAAAAGGAACTCCAAGATTTTTAAGTTTTGTTTGATGACTATGTCTTTTCTTTATATATGATATATTCAAGAGTCTATCTTCAGGAGGGTGTGGGGGAGGGTACAGAACTTGAGGGGGAAAAGGGTAAAAAAGTACAGCAGTGAAGCTCACTGGACACAGATGATAGTGAACATGTAACTCATGGGTGGAGATGGGAGAGAAGTACTGGGAGAGTG